CTTCAGGTTTATTATGAAATTTTGTTGGAATATTACCTAAGCTAATATATATTGGATGTCTGGAGCTTTTTCCTAAACAGTCTAGTGCAGTTGTGTCAGAGTATAATATTATTGCTAAAACCTTATTGTCAGATGGAATTTGTTATTGTGCACAATGCCACCACTTACAATTATAAAATTCAGAATATACTCTTTTTTGGTGGCTCTAAAAATGGAACAAGTAATATTTAATATTTATTTGATTAATATAATTTTCTTTAATTTTAATCATACTTATAGGAAAATCCTATCTGGTAATTTTCATATTCAAAAATTAATTGACAAAGCTTTTTTTTAAATATATAAATATAACTCGATTTTTGCTAATATATATATAGAATTATTGGCTAAACTTGTATGTAAGTTATATAAATTTAAAACTTGCATAATCACAATTAAAATCAGGTAAGATGCATATAATAATTACATTTTAAATAATAATGCATATTATTTGCAGCAATTATATCTATATATAAATTTTTTTTGACAAATTTACTTATCTCAATCGATATATAAATCTCTTGGTAATCAAAAACACAGTTTGTTGTGATCTTTTTATTTTTGAGAATTTTTTTAACTGCTGAAATTATTGGCCGGTACTCAAATGAATATGTTTGATTATTTATTTTCATAACAGAAGTTGAAAAAAACTCAGTGTGGTTTTTTTTTAATGTATCCAAGAAATGAAGTTCATCTTTTGTTGATCAAAGTAAGATTTTCTTTGAAATCTGACTATGTTTTTTTATAAATTTTAATATAGCATCACCAGCCTTATAAGAAAGCTGATATCTGATTATCTAATATTAAAAAGAAATACTATTTAAATACTTTAAATAAATAAATAAAATTCTTCAGGTTAAAAAAAAAGGCTAATTAAAAATTATATCTTTCATGAGGCTTAGATTATTATATTTAGAATTTAAAGAGGTACATTATTAAAAGTAATTGTAATACTTACTATATCTATAAAATCTCTATACGCTGTATTTGGAAATTCTGCATTATCAATATCACTAAGTTCACTGTCATTACTACAAATTTCTTCACTAATCTTATCATTTTCTAATATGTTATTCTCAAACATTTGATTAGACTTGCTATTTTCTTCAATAATATGACCAAACTTATTATTTTCCTCAAATATCTGATCATAATTGTAAGCTATTTGCTGATTATTGATTACTATTGACTCAAATTCAGGAGCTTTGCTAGTAATATCTTGAATATCAAATGTTTTACAAGCTTCATCTTCAATATCTTGAATATTGAATATCAGGTTCAGGTTGTTATTTTACTCATATGTAATCTTTGTTTTATCAGAACTACAATTATTCATGCTCTTATTTGAACTAGTGGCAGTATAATATTCAATATAATAATAGGTTTTGTGAACTTTTCTGTGATTTTTGAGACTTGTTAAACATCTGAAATTTCTTTTATACACACTACAGACAAACATGAAAAAAAAAATCTATAAAAAGAAAATTAAAAAATTAAAAAAAAATAAATAAATAAATAAAAAAATTAAAATTAAAAGAACGATTGGTAACCTTCTTTTTTACTTTTTTTTTCAACTTTTGGTTTTATTACAAGCACCCGCTAAAATTTGTTAATCAAAAAATTTTTTTTCGCTTTTATAGTAAATTTTAACTTTTCAATCACATTATCAATCATATGCATCTGTCATTTAATTCAACATCTAATACAGTAGTACAATCATGATTTCCTTTTTTAAAACAACAATTGTAATAGAAAATTCTATGTTAGTACATAATAAGAAATAGATTACATAATTCGAGATAATGATTGGTTAAAAATGTTCTAGCAATTGATCAATTGAATTAGAGTTAATAATTTAGGTTACACAAACTTGATTTTATATATATATTTTTTTTCAAGAAACTAAAAATTATTAACCTTTTTTTATTATTTACCTTTTTATGATTGATACTAAAAGTTTGATCCCTAAAATTTATGAAATTTATGTTCTTCTAACTTTATGCCTATTTCTTTTATATATTTGGAGAATAAAGGTATTTTAAATATACGTATTTATTTTACCATATACAATTGCACTTCTGTATAACCATCTCATATATATAAGAACATCATGCTTATAAGCATATTTATTTTTTGAAACAATTACTATTAAATATATAAAACTAATTCTCTATATTCTCCATATAAGCTCATTCAAAGTATAAGAATGCATTTTATAGATCCTGATAATGTGATTGTACAGGAGTGTGATTGTATACAACATAAGAAAACAAATTTTACAAGGCATCAATTCTTTAAAGCGTTACATTTCAGCTTCATTCATCTCTAACACCATTATAATTAATATGTACCAATCCAATCAGCCAACAAAAGTTGTCACCATATAAGTTCGCTAAAATAATAATAATTATTAAAAGCAATCTTTAATGGTAATACAATTAAAAAAAATATATCTTTCATTTTTAATTTAATTTTAAATATGTTACTAATTTATGCTTGTTGCATTATCTTTATGCATTGCGTAATCTGTATTTTACGCCCATTATTATCGGACCCTTTATAAAATTTCTAAAATTCATGCTGGCAAGAATCAATAATTTTTATACCTTAAAATCCTTTTTTTTTTTATTAATCCAATGTCTCCTAAAATCTGAAAACATAGATCTGGCCTAAGACAAGATGAAGTCGCTTCAGTAATTATTTAGACTGACTTTATTAAATATATTTAGATGCTAACTTTTTATTGTTTTTGTCAGGCATTGGATGCTTTGAGATCTGGTTCTTCTATCACAAAAAACAATAAACTACAAATGAACCTATTACCCAACCTTTTAAGCACATGAACAATAATATTGAAAATGCTGATATTGATGGCATTGATAATGATATTCAAGATTCTCTTCATATAATCACTGAAAGCTGACCTCACTCTCTATTTAGTGAAATGTCAACAAATATTTTAGGAAATTTATATACCAACATAGAACATGGTCAGTTTTAAAAATACAAATCAATTCATTATATTTTAAATTAAAATATTAACTATTGAATCAAATTAGTACAAAGTGAAAAAGGCAAAACAATAAATTCAATATTGGAAATATCCAAATGATTATTAACTCAAAACACATCAATTATAGAAAGACAAGAAGCCTTAAAAGTCATGGTTACTCAACTAATCAATGATATTAAGACATTACAATCTTCGTATCAAAAGTTAAAAATTAAGGAAAATGATTGCAAATGGTGGCAGGTATATTATTGTGTTTTTATTATAATACTATATATAGGATCGATTTTCCATTTTTGCTATCTATTAGCAAATGAAAAATTAAGGTCAGTATAAAATTTGAGGTACTTTAATTTAATAGTTATTTTAAAATATCAGTAAACTAATCTAAGCCTGAACTCTTTTATTATTATTATTATTATCATTATATGAGTGAAAAATCTATCCTATACTATCAGCTTTATTATATTATCAAACAATTATACTATTTTATTTAAAATTTAGAAAGGGTAATGCAGGGTATTAAGGCGGCTGTAGACAATTGGCTTTATCCTAATGATAAGGTTTATAAAGAAGCCATTTGAAAGGAACTTGAAATCCTCTGCCTAGACAAAATGAAACGATACAGAAAAGGCACTAAATAGAAGGCCCTGTTTAATAAAATTGAAAATGTAGTAAGTATAATTGCAACAAGCTATTTAGAACTAATATTACTCAACTTTCTGATAGTCATTTTTCTGACAGGCCATCTAACCTACATCAACAGTGTAATAATTTAATGTTTTATTAGTTGCAGTTATATTTTATTAGTGAGTTTTTATGCTTTATGATGTTGGTTAGATGTCTTGTCAGGGAAATGACTAGCAGAAAATTTATGTATAACTATTTAGAACAACTCAAACTATGTGATAATTAGCATATTGTTTTAGCAGATTAAAACTGATATGATATTAGCTTGAACTGTTATTATTTTATAATCTAAAACTTTAAATATACATAGATCAGTACCAAATCTTGCAGATATCATGGGGCCTTATTGGGATCTTTCTGACGTGCTGTGTTTGAACATGTTTTTAAGAACAAGGTTTTACCAACTGTCAATTCTGAGAGATCTGAAGCTAATATATTGTCTTGGAAATCAAGTGATGATGTACATGGATGCTTAGAAAACTTGGATACAATGATGGAAGAGGAAGAAAAAACCTACCTTCAAATGGTTGCTAAAAAGGTGTTTGGTAGGCA